TCACTTGAGGCCAGGAGTTCGAGACCAGCCTGAGCAAGAGAGAAACCCCATGTCCACAAAAAATAGAAAAATTAGCCAGGCAGAGTAGTGCATGCCTGTGGTTCCAGCTACCTGGGAGGCTGAGGCAGGAGGATCACTTGAACCTAGGAGTTCAGGCTGCAGTGAGCTATGAGCAGCCACTGCACTCCAGCCTGGGTGATACAGGGAGACCCTGTCGGAAAAATAAATAAATAAAATAACCAGGGATTGATGATGGCTTGGCTGTTTCTTTAATCTAATTAATTGACTGTGTCTTTTCATCTTTCCTATACAAGTGGACCCCCCTGTTGGTCATGCCTTCTCCCATTGTTTTTCCCTGGTGTTGATTGGTTTCCTTTGTTCTGCCCCCTCCCCGACCACGCTAATCCATCCACCTTGTGATCAGTGGTTTGTATTTCTAGAACAGGAGCTATTTGTTCTGAGCCCCCCCCCCCTTCTCCAAGTGGATTTCCTGTGTATTAATCTTGCATATTTTGCTCATTTCTAAACTTTGCCTCCTTTTGCCTGGCATGTGCTCCACTGAAGTAACCCAGTTTTTTTTCCGAGTTCGGTTTTTAGAAAGACATCTTACTTTAGTATTGTGGCCCTTGCTTCTTCTAGGAAAAGTCCCGTGAAAAGAATTCTGCTCTTTAAACTTAGAATTTTCTTCCCTGCTCTTTGGGAATAATCTTGCACAACAAATACCCTGTTGATTGTTGCACATGAAAATGACTTTTGATAGTTTAAGAGGCTCTCTTTAAAAATTCTTCAGTAAGGTTGTGGGTCTTACTAATCCTTTGAAATCATCCCAAATTAAATCAGGTGTTCATTCGACCACTAATGCGCCAAGACACTAGAATGCAGGGGGCTGGTTCTGTCCCTCACCTCTGCACAATTTCTCCTTTGATGTCACCCTGCCAGTGAGGCTGTCCCCAAATACCTGGTATAAAAACACCTCCCCTAGTAGTCCTTAGTCACCCCTTACCCTCATTATAGGTTCTCATAGACACTCATCACCACCTGTGATACTTTGTATTTACTTGTATATTTGCCTTTTACTTTCTGCCCCTGAATTGGAATGTAAGCTCTATCCCAATGCCCATAATACACTAGCATGATAAATATTTGCTTGAATGTGTGGATTTTCTAAATTTTTAAATTTATCAGACGCTTACTTAGCACCTTCTGAGTGTCAGACACTATTCGAATATCTTTACAAACAAGAGGCCATCACTGCACGGATGGTTATCCTCGCCTTTCCTTCACAAATGCATTTTTCTCCACTATTCCAGTCGTTTTCCTTGAAATAATCATTGTTTTTGAGCGGCTGCAATCCTATATCTATCTTGACATAATGTTTCTTTTTTCTGGTCATAGTCTCCTGTTTTGTTGGCATAACTATTATCTCCCATCATGATTCTGTCTCCACAAGGTCATGAGAGGGAATGGTTCTAGTTCTCCTGATTTTTCCCACTTCTGGAATGGGCACTCACCCACATCTTGTATGCAGTGCGCTCCTGAAAATAGGATGAAAGTGTAAAGTTTTCCGGCGGCGAAAGAAACAGACAGAGAGAGTGGGGCCAAACAACGTGGCTTTATTGTGTGCTGCCGGTTGAGGTTCGAGGGTCCCAAGGTGGGGGGGGGGTGCCGAGATGTCACTTTGGTGGTCATTGAGAAATAGGAGGGGCTGGCGGTATTTGTAGAATCCAGGAAACGAAAACTTTCTTATCAGGGTGCACATCCAGGTATTGGTGTTTTCAGCGGGGCCTGGCGGTTGTCCTTGGCGGGTCTGGTCTTGTGAGCCTTTTCTTTTTGATCTAGGGAGGGGAGGGAGGCCTGCCACCTTTCAGCCGTACAGAAAGGAGGTCAAATGTACGAAGGTGGGGAACTCTATTTATAGCCATATTTTTCAGTGACTGTGTGCCCAGTTCTGAGCTGTCTGCTTGGGTTTATGCATTGTTTTGCCATTCTAAGTGCATTCAAAAAGACAATGAAATGTTCACAAATCACATAAATATTAAGTCATACCCATACGTACCATATAGTAGTGTCTAAGTATTATAGGATGTGTGTGATTATTTCCAGAAAGCAGAATCAATATAAGTACAGACAAATATTCTAAATCATTTCTGTCTTCAAATTCTAGATTTCTCAGTATACTCAGTGACTGATGCTGGTAGAAGTTGTTTGTTTTCACGTTGGTAAAGACTTGAGCCAGGTGATAGTTGTGCTAGCTTTGGTGCCCTGTCTTATCTGGAAGAACATTTTGGAGGTGAGCTTGAATTGTGTTGGCAGGAGCTTTGAGCCACAGGTAGGACGAGACCCTCCAGGTGCGTGCAGGAGTAGGGAGGCCACATGGGCCCTGGGATACGCTCACGAGCTGCCCAGGAGCTGGCGGGGCCAGGCACGACCTGCCTCTGGCCCACTCTCATCAGCCCTTTCTATGAAGTCCCAAGTACCCTGCCCAGTTGTATTGCTTCTAAAAAAACCTACCTGGATTGGCATCCCAGGAATGTGGCTAGCTGGGGAAGGGCCGAGGGTTTCAGTTCTTTGGCTTCTGGGACTTTCTAGGCTGCCCCAGGCTACTTCTGCTCTCGGTCTGAGTTTCTGTTTAACTTTTTCTCTTTGTGTTTATTAAGTAAAAGGAAAGGTCTGTGTGTTTCTTCACTCTTGAATGTCCTGTGCCTTCTTCTTTAACACCTTGTTAATCTAGGGGTGAGGTACCCCCACCTGCACTCCACCCCGCCCTGCAGGGCTCTGGGCCTCTCTGCCAGCAGGCCAGGCCACTGGGGCTGTCTCCTCTCCTGGAGGGTGTCTGAGCCCAGGAAGCAGCTGGGGACAGTGGCTCTTCCACAGAAGAGATGGGCGGGTGTCCCTGCCCTGGCCTTGAGCAGTTTCTCAGGGTTGGTTTTGACAACTCCTGTGGTTTATGTGGCAGAAATGCCACTGCTGAAGTTTTAATTTTTCTCTAGAAGAACAAAATATGCCATTTGTCATGGCTTATGAAAACCTTGGGATTGGTACTTTTGCATTGCTTGGTGTGTCATTCTCCTTTGCAATAACATACCATTTGTTGCCATGTAGGCAGCTGGGCGATATTTAAAAATAGAATCCTCAATCAAAGAGTGCTGCAAATATGATTCCAGAAAGTTATTTTGTGTGCGCATATGTACACACAAGTGTGTGTGTGTGTGTGTGTGTGTGTGTGTGTGAAGGTGGAGCATTTTTCATATTATTTATACCCTTGCTTTTTTTAACCTCTTGGCATTTTTATTTTACTTAAAGGATAATTATAATCCAACTAGTTGAAAAACTACCAAATAGTAAGTAAGTAAATAAGGAGTAGAACTCTATAATCAAATGATTTTGTCACTGCACAGTTTGTATGTAAAGCAGGCGTCCTCAAACTACGGCCCGCGGGCCACATGCCGCCCTCCGAGGACATTTCTCCGACCCGCAGGGTGTTTTTGCCACGGCTGCTTGTCCTGCTTAGCAGCAGACTCGTCCCGGGCCCACAGTGCGCACTCTCGAACGGTGTGAGGGACAGTGAACTGGCCCCCTGTTTAAAAAGTTTGAGGACCCCTGATGTAAAGCTTGGTCACCAGATGGAGCTTCACTTGATATGGTTAATCCTGTCCCAAATCACTGACAACAAAAGAGTGTGCTAAGTTCAGTAATCGATCCGACAGTATTGGAGTCACTGCATGTGCGTGCTGCAGCGTGTATGTAGCGCTCGTTGGTGGTGTTCGGAATTTTAAGGAAGATAAGTTGTCGAGCAGACAAAGAAATCAATTTTGTTTTAAATCTGAAAGAGGATTTGTTTCGCTTGAAGAGCACATACGTGAATGCTGTGTATCACAGTTGAGAGGGAATATTGTTCAAGGATATTTTCTAAACATTCCTGTGATGATGTGCTCCAGCCTTTGAGCAGATATAGGGACTACTATAAATATGAATTTATGTAATAAAATGCTTAATGCTTTTAAATTATTTAACCCTTAAATTGTAGAACTTTGTCATGAAACTTTGAAATTATCATATGATCCAATGTGAAACATCATGTAGGGAAACCAAATTACTTTCTAAAAACTTGACCACTTTCTTAACTGTTAATGATTTATGTAAATTGAAGAAATAGTCAGAGAAGTGAACTAGAAGTGTATAATTTCTGCGATTCTCAAATGATGTTTAGTCTTTGAACTAATGTCTTTTAGGAACATACCATTATTGTCAAAACAATTTCTTCCTTTAGAAATATATAGGTGAACTACTGAGCATCTACCCAAAAGATCAAAAGTCACTTTATGAAAAAGACACATGCACTCAAATGTTTATAGCAGCACAATTCACAATTGCAAAGCTGTGGAAACAACCCAAGTGCCCATCAATTCATAAGTGGATCAGTTGGAATACTACTCAGCTTTAAGAAACAATGGTGATATAGCACCTCTTGTATATTCCTGGATATAGCTGGAACCCATTCTACTAAGTGAAGTATCTCAAGAATGGAAAAACCAGCATGACATGTACTCACCAGCAAATTGGTATTAACGGATCAACACCTAAGTGGTGGACATATAGGAGTAACATTTATTGGGCATATAGGAGTAACATTTATCGGATGTCGGGAGGGTGGGAGAAGGGAGGAAGGGATGGATATATACAACCACAACAAGTAAGATGTGCAACATTTGGGGGATAGACACGCTTGAAGCTCTTACTCAAGGGGAGAGGGAAGGCACGGGCAATATATGTAACCTTAACACTTGTACCCCCATAATACGCTAAAATAAAAATAAAAAAAGAAATATATAGGTGACATAAAGAAAATGAAAAAGTTCTTTGCAGTATATTTTGTATTGCCCAATTCAGGATCTTTTTGCTGAGATTATACTGAGATTATATTGTCAAGTTTGGGAAACTTCTAGGAGAATCACTTACGGCTAACAACTAAATAAATTGAATTCGTTTCTCTCCCTCAGGTATTCACTTACAAGCAGAGCACGATTACCCACCAGAAGGTGACTGCCATGCACGCCACAGACGAGGAGGGCGTGGACAACATGGCCTCCCTGACAGAGCTGCATGGTGGCTCCATCATGTATAACTTATTCCAGAGATACAAGAGAAATCAAATCTATGTAAGTTCCCTTTGTAACGCCTTTAAAAAAAATCCCTGAAGTTTTGAGTGAATGCATATTTTTGGATTCAGAGAGTACTTCCTGCCTTTCGAGAACCTCAAGTTAATCTAAATGAAACTATGCGTTCAAGAGTTTTGCCAAATTAGGAACTTGGTTCAATAACTCATGTTTTCCTAGTGTTTATTGCCTAGATTTCATTACAGGGGATTTACTTTCTGTTGAAGGTTCTTCTGCACCTAAAGGTAATTGGAACTTTCTTCTTGTGAATACACTCTGTTGTATTGCGTTTGTAAGTGTTCTGTGACACAAAGAAGTCCTGTGGAGTTGTTTGATTTCCTAAGTTAGAGCTTCAGGGAAAATGTTGACTTGCAGACATGAGTACCTGAGCTTGAGCTTTTTTATTTTTCTTGACTTTTCTCTTTTTATGGATTTTCATTTATTTTTCTGGCTCTGGAGCCCACCCTGGGAGATATTTGCATTCAAGGAAACCTGTCATTCTAAGTCACGGGATTCCTGGTTTGCTAGGTGAGTGGAGAACTAGCCATAAAAAGTAGCCATGCACATTTTTCTCTCAACTTTTATGAAATGTGACCATACCTATATTATAAAGTCACATTTAAAAATCACTTCCATAATAACTCTTTTGACTTTAAAGTACAGATACTACATTCCCTGTCGAGATGGATTGATCTGCACATTCTATCCCTTTTTCCATCTGCTTGTTTTGCAAGTCTTTATAATAAACTGGAGCAACTGTTTATAGGTTTATTTTTCTTGTCAAGTTCAAACCGATAGTTTTCTTAAAAATCCAAAATTACAGTACTTTCAAAACCCTTGATCTTTTAGTAATTTTTATGCTTTAGGAGTTACATTTAGATTTGCCAATGTGTTTGTGATTACGATTAATAATAATATCAGCCTCAAAGTTGAATAGTAGGAGCTGAAACTCAGGGCATGCTTAGTGTTCAGGTGCCTCCAACTTATCTCCCCTTAGACTGGGAAAGAAGAGTTAGGCAAAAAGAAAAATTAGATATTTGTGGGTTTGATGCTTAGTTTTCCTCAGCTTAAAAAAGAGAATGTAGTTGCCTTTTTTTTTTTTTTTGACATTGTGAAAATGTCATTTTTGCCAGATAATGCTTGCCAAATGTTTTCAAACAGCCCTGTCGAGAGAAATTCAATCGTGTTGTAGTCCTCTGACATGCTGAGTTTGCTTACCCTAAGTCTTTAGATTAAAATATTTTCCATATGTTCGAAAAAGGTAATGTTTATACATGTTTATGTAAAAGTGGCTCTGTATTCTGTGTTTTGCATGTGCTGGCAGAATGTGCCTTATTTATTCCTCTGTTTCCATCTCAAAAATCTCCTTGTACGTGACCAGTGAACTAACCATCTTCTTCCCATAGAACACCCAGTACACAGGTATCCATGTTACCACCGCCCTGTGCGTGTGTTTTTATTATTAAGAATCTGACAGTGTCATGTAACTGTTTGTTTACATAGCAGTTTCCTTGCTAGGTTTGTCAAGGACTTACTTTGTCTTCTTCGAGCCAAGGACAATGCCAGGTGCCTGGTAGTTATGGAATAAATGTTCGTAAAATAAATGCCTTTCGTATAACAGATAGTCTGTTGTAGTTGATAATAAAATGTGAAGCTAGATTTTTAAAAATGTTTGTTGGTATTTGTCTCTTGTAGGTAAGTTCAGGTTGAGTATCTCTAATGCAAAAGTTCGAAATCTGAAATGCTGCAGGATCCAAAACATTTTGAGGAGAGAGAGAGAGAGAGAGAGAGAGAGAGTGTATCACTATGTTGTCTAGGCTGGTCTCAAACTCCTGGACTCAAGTGATCCTCCCACCTCAGTCTCCTGTGTATTTGGAACTATAAGTGTGTAGTGCCACACACAGCTAGACACAAGTTCTTATTATATATTTTCAGTAATCAAGAAAAAGTCAATTAGAAGGATAACAACTACTCACTGAGTTTAAAAGACAGAGCCTTTTAAAAAATTTTTGCTTTTCCTCTTTCCATGATAATGTTATTAAATTAAACCTGATAGCTAAATTGCCCAATAAATACTATGAATAGGATCTTGGTCTTGGGGTGATAGTCTTTTTCCTCACTTTTAAGGTAAAACCACAGGAATTTTGTGCATCCAATTTGCAGCTCAGTTCAGTTAATTATGCCCTTGTATGCCTTCCTTTTGAGACGTGCATAATTGTGTTATTATCTATGGAGCAGCCACCACGATTTTCTTATGACCATTGAAGCTATTTGCAGGGGTATTTGCGTCTGCCAGTACCTCCCAGACACTGCTGGCATGGAAACAAGACTGCCACCTGTAAGGAGCCACAGCTCCCCACCTCGTATCCCGGCTCCGAGTGATGCCCGTCTGTATCTTTACAAGACAAAAATTAACTGCATGGTACCAGAGGTGTTGTATTAGTTTTCTATTGATGCATAACAAATTATCATAAATATACCAGCTTGAAACAACAAATTTATTCTCTTACACTTATGTAGGTCCCAAGTCCGACAGGGGTCTTTGGAGGCCAAAATCAAAGTGCTGGCAGGGCTGCATCCCTTTCTGGAGGCTCTGGGGGTGGGATCCATTTCGGGCTCATTCTGGTTGTTGGATGAATTCAGTTATTCACCGTTGTAGGACTGAGGTCCTTGTTTTCTTGCTGACTGTCACCTGAGGCCTATTCCCAGCATCTAGAGGCCACCTGTATTCCCTGGTCCCCTGATACATGGATCCCTTCCTTCATCTCCAGGGCTAGTCACCCTGGATCTAGTCCCTCTTATAGCTTCAAATCTCTCTTCCTTCTCCTCTTTCCTGCTCTCTGACTGCAGCCAAGAAAAAAAAGTTATCAGCTTTTAAGGACAGGTGATTAGAATGGGCCCACCTGGGCAATCTCCCTGGGCGGCCTGGGTAACCTCCCCAACTTAGGGTTCATAACCTGATCGTGTCTGTAAAATCTCTTGGTCTCGTAACAGCACCTCGTCACAGGTTCTGGGCTGAGTGTGGGTGTCTCTGCAGGGGGACCGTGAGCTGGCTGCTGGCGAGTTGACTCATCACCAGGTAGAGAGGTCTCCTGTCCTCTCCTAAGAAGGAACATTAGCTTTTTCTCCTTCAGGGCCAGTCTTTTTGTCTAAGGACTTTATTAGAACCTAGTAAAATATATTTTTTTTCCCTAGCTTTTGGCATCCTCCGTTGAAATGGGATAAAAAGTGATAGAAAGGTAAAAGCACTCAGAATAAACAAATCAGAGTCGATCTGCCTTTTTTCTCTCCTAACCTCCTCTTTGGCTCTGTGTTAATAATGTAATCTTTCTGAAAATCTGTTAAATTTATGTTTTTTAAAAGGTCAGATACCATAACCCCACTACCTGACAAGGATGTTTTAAAATAAGTGGAAGCTCTAGAACAGGGGTCCTCAAACTTTTTAAACAGGGGGCCAGTTCACTGTCCCTCAGATGGTTAGAGAGTGCACACTGTGGGCCCGGGACAAGTCGGCCGCTAAGCAGGACAGGCAGCGGTGGCAAAAACACCCGGAGGGCTGGATAAATGTGCTAGGCGGCCCGTATGTGGCCCGCAGGCCGTAGTTTGAGGATGCCTGCTCTAGAAACTTTAACCTTTTCTACCTTTCTCTCCATCTTATTCATCTCATACCAACTAGAGCTTATTTAGAAAGTTTCTGCTTGGCTTTGGTGCGTGTTGAGGGGGATTCACAGGTTTATAACATCATGTCTCCTTCAAAGCTTTCAACTTAGCATCGAGATTAAACCAAGGCCAGCTCCCGGCACATAGCCTTGAACAATAGAAGAAAGTCTCCCACTGAGTGCCAAGTTGTGCGAGGGTGACACAGGTGTGGTTGTGACCCTGCCCGTGAAGCCCTGAAACCTTGCAGCTGGGCCCTTCGCTGTTGCTATGGGTGTACCCCTGCCCCAGGCTTGTCCTTGAGGGGACGGATGCCACGCAGACTTTGATGTTGGCGTCTTAGTCTTATGGCCGAGTGAACCAGCATGGATCCAACAACCAGGGTTAGAGCAGCGCCACTCTTTCCATACTGCCTGTGCCCTACAGCAGGAGTCCCTTCCTGCAGCCCCGGGCTCTTGTCCACTTTTCCCACCCTCTGGGGACTTCCCGACTTGAGCCCAGCTCAGCACTCCGGCTTCCAGCCCCAACCCCGGGCTTCCACCCTGAGCCCCTTGCCAGAGGGGAGGTAGGTTCTCCTTTTGTGCCCTCCCTGGAGAGGATCTGACGAGGGTCCCAGCCTCCTCTGTTTCTTCCCGCGACCTGATAAGACCTGGCGAGGACCAGTGCTCACACCTGCAAGTTCCTAAAGACGTAAGGAGAGGGGGGCAGGTGTGTGTTTGTGGTGCCAAGACATAGCCTATAAGTGGGTCAGAAAGTCCTGTGGAGGGGGTGACAGTGATGACACTACGAAGGCGGGTTAAGAATTGGTTAGGAGGCCGGGCGCGGTGGCTCACGCCTGTAATCCTAGCACTCTGGGAGGCCGAGGCAGGCGGATTGCTTGAGTTCAGGAGTTCGAAACCAGCCTGAGCAAGAGTGAGACCCTGTCTCTACTATAAATAGAAAGAAATTAATTGGCCAACTAATATATATAGAAAAAATTAGCTGGCATGGTGGCTCATGCCTGTAGTCCAGCTACTTGGGAGGCTGAGCAGGAGGATCGCTTGAGCCCAGGAGGTTGAGGTTGCTATGAGCTAGGCTGATGCCACGGCACTCACTCTAGCCTGGGCAACAAAGTAAGACTCAGTCTCAAAAAAAAAAAAAAAAAAAAAAAGAATTGGTTTAGGAGAAGAGGCCAGTGGAACCCATCCATTAAGATGGAGAGATTGTGAGTTTGGTGTGATGGCTCCACTGCTTTAGAGAAGGTCGCCTTTGCTCATGGAATCAGACGATTTTGGGGGAACCTTCCATGAGTGGCAGAGTGGGTTAGAACACCTTAAAGCTTTTGGTGCTCAACCAGAAATGATTCT